CAAACCAACAAACAAATAAACAAACCAAAACACAAACAAACAAACAAACAAACAAACAAACAAACAAACAAACAAACACACAAACACACAAACACACAAACAACCTAACTAACAAACCAATTCACAAACACACACACAACCAAACAAACTAACTGACAAAACTAACTGACAAACAAGCAAATTAACAAACTAACTAACTAACAAGCAAACACAAAAACTAACAAACTAACAAATCAAACAACTATCAAACAAAGAAACAGAGAAACTACCAAACAACCAAACAACCAACCAACCAAACAAACAAACAAACAAACAAATGAAACAAACAAACAATGAAACAAAGAACCACAGAAACAAACAAACCAACCAACCAACCAACAAACAAACAAACAAACAAACAAACAAACAAACAAACAAACAAACAAACAAACAAACAAAACTACGTAACTAAGTAACGAACTAAAATTAACAAACTAACAAACTAACAAACTATCAAACTATCAAACTAACAAACAGACACCAACAAACCGCACTTCAAGGCCTAAAGCAGCGGTTCACCCGACTTTGGGTTCCAATGCCTTTACACGAAATGCCAGGGGAGCATTCTCCACTGCCCCGCAATTCTGGTAGCCGCCCTCCTGCCGGGATTCTATAAACCGCGCATCTGGTAAGTCGGTCCAGGCAGAACTGCAAAAGCCTGTCAATATCAGAACACAAGGCAGCCCTCAAAGAACTCCCCAACCAGTTAAGACCCTCTCTAGCCACATCCGATGCGTTGACACAAGGGCATCCGTACTGCCCGTTCGGATACTGTTCTCATGGAGCCTTGACCTTACACCTGGAGTCGACCTTACAACGCCATGAATCTTCATCAAACGTGCCACCACAAAACGCCCCAAATGACAGCTGCAGTACATCAACTCAAAGGAGGAAAACGTCGGTTTCAGGACACGCGGGAAACACATGGATGTGTCCTTGACAAAAGTACCCTTTCCTGGGGGTTTCGTTCAAAGGAAACCAAAGCAAGTCACCTGCCCGTGGAAGTTCACAGTAAGAGTGGTGATATCAAGATCATCTAAGCTGTAGCGTTGCGCCCCGAGCTACGCACCTTGATCTTTTGCTTTGGACCCAGCCATGAAACCAACACCACTGATTCAGTGCGTTACCTTTGGGCTTTTGAAAGTGGCCTTTACTCACTTCCCGAGGGATGCCCCAAAAAACATCCAAACTTTTCAGCTACCTCTAAAATGGTCTTCCCAAAAAATGTTCAGTCCAGAAAGCGAGCATACCTATGAAAACACAATTATCGGTTGGTTTAAATTGAAGGCTCGCCCCAGGCCTTTGGCCCGCCTTACCTCCAATTCGTTGCCACCATTGTCACCACCGTACGGTCTGGTATGCGTCGTCCCGGGGGCCTCCAACTTGGTCGGAAACAAAAACGCCCAGCAAGGGAAATGTATGGCTTCTCCTCAGATGCCCAGTGGCCATAGGAAGAAAAAAGGGCATCCTTTTTTGGTAAGTTGACTCTAAAGGCGAACCCTTCCCCAAAGAACAACAACAAAAGGGCGCCACTGGGCAACTGGGTCTCCTTTATTGGTTGCCCAAGAGGGGGCTGGGGATGGCGCTGACTGCTGGAAATCTTGGATCGGCTGAGCGCAGCGCTCGCCATTTCGCATGCGCCGATCCTGACATCCAGATCCCACCCGCTGACACAATCAACCGAACACTCATGTTCAGAATTCCGCCCTTTGAAAGGAATCCCTTGAAACATTCATAACACGCTGCTGCGATTGATCAAATTTAACAAAGACTCCACGATTCACGGAAAAGATCCCCAAATGACGGCTGGGCAATGTGATAGGAAAGCATCCTTTGATCCCTGCGCCTTGGACAAGTTCGAGACTCCAGCCTTCCACTCTCTCTAATGCCATGTGCCCTTTGGGAATCAAATAGATGGTCGAGAACGAGTCGAGCAAAGTAAAACCAGTGCCACATCTTACCACCTGCATTCTGCAGCCTCCCTTTCTAGGCACCCACGCAGGGATGGATGCTGGACTCGGTGGGGGATCTCTAATCCGAAGCAGTGGGACATCCTAACACGTGAAACGCCAACCATCCGGCAGGATCAATCAAAGAGGTATTCTGAGCAACCCAGACAAACTCCATGGCACATTCTTCAATCTGATGCGAAGGCTCAAGATGCTGCAATCGTTCTTGGCATCATAATTCCCCGGAAGCGAAGAAGGGAACCAACTGGTGTTGACGCGGGCCTCCTGGACCAGCCCAACTAAACTTTATCTCATGTCTGCACCAAAAACACATGAGCTCCCCATGAACACAATCTTCAATGTGGACCAAAATTTCGAAACATTAAGGGATGATTGGCCCCATTTCAGATATGGAAACATAATCTCTCCACCTGGGTGACAACGGCTGCCACTCCCTCAAATTTCCCATGTCCCCCTTAAAGGTGTTGTTTTTACCGCATCACCTTTTGGGCCGAAGTTTGTGGATTTACTACAAGTCCTTACTTAACTGGGGAGTCCATGCAGAAGCCCAATCAAGCGCACATTTAAAAGGTACCACTGAATAATGGAATCAGCCCAGGCGTGATGCCACCTCTGAAGTCTCGCCTCCAGCAATGTCGGACCCTGGCGTGCAATCTCGCAAGGAGTGGAGAAGCAGTGACGCTGTTCTTGTCATGAACACCCCCCCCTCTACTCCCGAATTCCCACATTCAGGAACATGGGGCCACCCACGCTCTTGAGAGACATACGACCCACGTCTCCAGCCCAAAGGGCGTCTCACGATTCAGATCAGATGGCTCAGTAGACTACAATAGCGCCCAAACAAAAGAAACAGCACCTGCACCCCCATCCTCAATCTGGAGCGGCGCGTTTGTGAACACAGGCCCACAATGCGCGCAATGCCCATGCTCAAAGAGGCATGCAACAAGTGATCGAGGCCATGCCACCAAAAGCCCGGCGATCGTGGCCAACGCGGGCGTATCTTTTGTTGAGACGGCACCCTCTCTGGGATGCTGAAGAGCAACCAAAGGGAGGTGCAAACTCTTTGACTAGAAACAACCACCACCTCCAAATGAAAGGGCCACTAGTGCCTTGGTTGTAGCTAACCACTCGCCAAATCCCAAAGGAACACGCACGGTCGGCTTGCCTGATTCAGGTCCGTCATGCCACCATAGCGGATACGACTGACAGGCAACTTGCGAGGAGAAAATGCTGCACAAAGCTTATGATCGCTTTGCTCCGCCATCTTGACAGCTGAAGAATTTAAGGGTCCACTTCGATTTGCACTCGCATCACTTGAGCCGAGGCATAGAAGATGAATATGTGATAGGTGAAGAAGTGATATGTAGAAAGTATGTTAAGAATAAGGGGACAAAATTTAATGTCAATTTTAAATTCAGGATTTCAATTATTGTTGGCAATATTGTTGTTTTACAAAATGTGGCAACTGATGTAAAGCAAAATATAGAACTGAAGGTGTTGAGAAAGAATTGTATATATGCTTATTGCTACACCTGTCATAGTAAGCAGGGCTGTAGTGTTGATGATGACATTGTGATATATGATTGGAGCAAATGGTATTGTAGCAAGAATTGGTATTGGACAGCAATTACTAGAGCAAGAGATTTGAATAGAGTTAAGTTTTATAAATATGATGCTGATGAGAATGATATGAGTAAGTTAAGGGTAGAGACATACTTTAAGAATAAAATTATGAACTATGAAGAGCAAGATAGAAAAGCAGGTAGAGATACGTAGAGATTTAGATGGGGATTATGTGGATGTAAATTTTTGGATGAACCTTATGAATACCCAGTGTGAGAATTGTAATGAACCATTAGTGATAGATTTTGAAGATGGCAAGGTTTCATTAAATATTAGCTGTCAAAGAGTTAATAATGATATTGGGCACTTCAAGGATAATTGTATAGGCTTTTGTCATCAGTGTAATTGTGCCTTTTCAAATAAAATATCACTATAAATATATGAGTGATAAAAAAATAAATTTTAGTGATATTTATTTTGATAGAAGCGGATATGGGAGCAAGGCTACTACTTTACAGGATGCCAGAGAGAAAGATAAAACGATTACTATGAAAGATGTTGAATATTTTTTAGAAAGAATGTAGAGATAAAAGCAAAGCCTAAAGGTTATAATTCTTTTGTCGCTCCATCCAATAATCATACTTATCAAATAGATTTGTTCTTTGTGGGGTATTATGATTTTGATGAAGAACAGAAGTTCAGAGGAGGACTTGTAGCCATTGATGTTTTGAGCAAGTATGCCGTTGTAGTTCCAATTAAAACCAAAAATGGTGAGGATGTCCTTGAGGCAACTAAAGAGGCATTAGAAAAAATGGGCAAGAAGCCAAAAATGATCTATACAGATGATGAAAGAGCAATAGCAGGTGAGGACTTTAAAGAATATGTGGAAGGTGAAAATATTGAACTACATAGGACAAGAGGTCATCCTGCTTTCGCTGAAAGATTTATTAGGACTTTTAAAGAAAAACATTCAAAAGAGTTGAGGTAGATGAAAAGAAGGGAAAGCAACATATACAATGGACGGATTATATTTTTGAAATAATGCTGACATACAATGATAAAGATAAGCACTCCGCTACAGGAATGACACCTAAAGAGGCAAGGAAAAATGGAAATGAGTTCAAGGCAATGCTGACTGTAGCATCAAAAGCAAGAAAGGAGAGAATATACCCAGAGTTGAATGTTGGAGATAAAGTTAAGATTGTGAGAAAGAAAGCAATTACTGAAAAAGAAAGAACCAGTCATTTTTTGAAAGGTGAATATGTTGTAGAGGATATTTCTGAAAAGATAGGGCAAACATATTACAAATTAACTGATTATCCTAGACCATTATTGAGGCACGAGCTATTAAACGTCTAAATTTCTTATGCTCATCAAAGTTCAAACAACAAATCTTTATTAAAACTTTTTTTTTTTACTTTTTTAGCTCCTTACTTCTTAAACATAAAAAATGATAGTTTTATATTTCTCCCAGTCCCTGCCTCATCACCCTCTGTGTCAAGAGCGATGTTCTTATCCATCTCCTGTGGTCGGGGCGGATGCGAAGCGGTGGGTGGAAGGGGTGAAGTGGGCAAGTCGGGTTGTGCTCCTACATCCAACTGTCCTACATCCGACAGTCCCTCAGCGACTTTGCACGCTTCAATAGCGCTGCTCTTGTGGTTTTTTCACTCAGCGAATCCAAGGGCGTTTTCTGGCCGCGATCATCTCAACCAGTTTTCGCATGGTTGAGGTCGATCTTCTCAACCAGTTGTGCATGGTTGCGGTCGATCTTCTCGTTCATCTTCTTCAGTTCCTTCTCCAAAGCAGCCAGGCGAAAGGTGGTGTTCAACGCCAGCATATTCACCTCCATCTTCACGTCGCTGAGCGACGTTTGTGCCGTCTGCATGTCTTTAACCCAGGACGTGAAGACCGAGCCGGCCACACCTGATATCGAAGCCAACAAGAAGTTCTCCGTGACCGGGTCGATCTCGGCCCGTCTTGGCAATGAGAACGTCCTTGCAGACAAGCCACCTGGCAATGACATCCGTCTACCGCAAAACAAGAAAATGACTGCACAAACACGTGTGTTCGTTGCATGCCGAGCCTCCTGTTCCACAGAAGGAGTTGGACGGGCCCACCAAAAAGCCAAAGGATCATGCAGCAAGGGGCTGCCCGGAGAGTTCTTGCCATGGCTTTTAGCAAGTGGCATTTATCATGAGCCAATGGCTGCAAGCAAGTTCAGTGTTGTCCATGATCGCAAGTGAGACACCGTCGCAACACACGAGTGAATACTCCTTGCTTCCACCCCAATTTGAGTTCGGCAAAAACTTACTTCATGTTTATCATGCTGAAACACAATCACAAAGCAACTCCTCAATGATGGCAGCTAGCAACCTTGTTTCATTTTTCTTCCACGGCACGGCTACCGGTGGAGTAGTAGAGGGGAAGCGCAATACACAGCCCCTCCGGAATATTGTGGATGGCAATCGCAAAGGTTAAGGTGAATCCTGACACAGCATTACCGTTGAGGCCGATGGATGTAAACATGATACCATTACTTGAAAAAATCCTGAAAAAAACAAACTGATCCAGCCATTTGTTTTTCTGGGACGGATTCCCAAATTTCCCAATTGGTGTTCCCTTTCAGCTCCTACGGACGGATCATGGAGGCCTCCGACCATGCCAGCCAAGCCCTCTGGGAAGTAACTGCTAAGATTTTCGAAGGCTTTCTTGGAGGGCTGGGCAGTTTCGTATCTGGAGATGCTTTGGATACAATTGGTGATGCTTCCGTTGTTGTTTTCATTCTCGTACCAAACGGCTCCAATATTTCTGAAAAGGGGATTAACTCACTTGGCTGTTCGCTGGGTTGCTAACGCTCACTCTGTTCTGCCAAAGAGCTCCCTTTCATGGTCCCGGTCCAAGATGTGAGTCAATGCAATCAAAAGTCGCATCAGCAGCATTCCAGCGAAAACGCTGGCTGTAGCAAGCATGTAAGCATGCTTCTCTTCCTGAGTTGGCCGTGAGATTTCTCTGCCCTTGGCTTTCAAGAGGGTTCTACCCATTTGGGCGCCGGGAATTTTGGGGGATCCACTTGACCTCACCGTTGTGAGCCAAAGGCCTTTCCAACGAGTCAAAGTTCCACTTGCGTATCGCGTTCCGCGCGACTTACAAAGTTCCAGCATGTTCCAGCAAAATGAGGCATGGCAAATTTATCCCCATCACTAAGAAACCAATGGTCAACAGGGACCTCTCAAAACTGAAAGAAGCAGTCGGGGGAGATGCCCAAAGAACAAGGAGCCTTGATCGGAGGATCAAAAGAATGTGACCGACTGCAGATCAGATCGAGTGTTTCACTTGGAAAATGACCTATCCAAACATGGAAAAACGATAATTTTCTAAGGCCTTGAAAAGCAAAACGGCGAGAAACTACCACTACTCAATTTGGGTCGAAAAGTTCATTTGGGCTGTCATCCAACAGACATGCTTGACAAGAACCCCATTTGACGAGCGAGTCGGCGGTGTCAAGTCTGTCCGTTGGCCAAACATCTGAGCTTGGCAATAAAACGTCAACTGTTAACAAAATACAATCAAACCACCAACCAGTTGTAGTGACAGCATGTCGCTTGTTGGTTTACTTCCCATGAAACCAGCAACCAACTATGTAAGCATCGAAGATGAAAAAAGATTCCAACCACCAAGTGCACCATCTAAAGTGGCACTTGCCACTTCTTTACATTTCCAGGGAGCTGCAAGATGCAGCAACCAAGTTCCGCCCTGGGTAACAGTGGCAGTCAATCCATGCGGAATGTACTGCGAAAGCGGACAGTCGAATCTTGTCGAATTAGGTCGATTGGGAAGCACTGGTCTCTGCCTAAAACAGAGGGAACATCATGAGGCCAGAAGCCCCACGCCAGATTTGCCTCGACATGGCTGGGCTTCAAACGGAGGTCCTTCTGAAATGGGTTTCAACATGTTTTAAATCCTGCAACACGATGTCAATCCCCACAAACAGAATAATTATGACAATTGGTTACTCGAAATCTTGACACGGGCAAAATCACAATTATTGTGTCACCTACCCATAGCATGCCGAGGATGTCGAGCAACCAGCATTTAAAACTTACGGCTTGCTCAACTTACGGAGACCGGACTGGCCACCAGTGGGGTGGATTGAAAGATTTCAATCCACCGTCGCAGCAAGTAACGGCTCTGACCGGCACTGCGGAGGCGGTTGTATGGTCGCGGTCCCAAAATTAGACACATTCGTCCGGGACTGAGATAGAGAAGCGGAGGACCCAAAAATATTTCGCAAACTTCCAAGGACATGATCGTGTGGAACAATTTGTGACACGTTCTTCCAATCAGAAACGTAGAATGTTGCAAAACGTCATTGATTCCTGGATCTTCCTGGCCATTGACGGCGGAGAATTTGGATGAGAGATTGCCATTTTCGTTGGTCACTTGGTTCGACTAGTTTCAGTCTTGATGTCCAGGCCTTTTGCTACAAAATTCGGTAGCTTCTATTGGACAGGTATCCCTTCCCTGGAACCATCAACACTCCCTAAAAGCCCCGAGACCTCATATATGAAGGCTTTCTGTTCGAGACCTGCGCTGGGAGGCGCCTCTAGACAAGACCTTGAAAAATAAGGTCTCGGAATTAGATAGCTCAGAGGGGGCCAAGGCCTGAATATAAAGGCCTCAGGTTGAGGGATCCGTTGGTAGGTCAGGTGCCCTCTCCCAAAACCGCAAGATCGGCAAACCAGACTTTGTACTTTTCCCCATGAAGACAGCCAGGCTTGACACTAAACCACTTTCCAGACAAGTTTCCCACTGCAACACTGATGGATGCCAGCCAAAGCAAAAACGAAGACAACAACATTTCCTGGGCTGAAGAATGGCTTTTTCGATAGGAGCGCAGGCCAAAATTAAAGCGCGTTAAAATGCGTTAAAATGAACCCCCCGAGGCCTATATAACGAGGCCTCGAGTTAAATCGCGTTAAAACGCGTTAAAACGAGTTAAAATGCGGTAAAACGAGTTAACATGCCTTAAGCCACGTAACTCAGATCATAACATTCCAATACAATGCCTGAACAGGTGCGAGGACAAATGCACAGAGCTGAACCTAGTGCAAACTTGCATGAACTGCATAGCTTGCTTGTGTGCAATACAATGTGTCAGTGGTTCCTAGGATTAAGCCCATTCGAGATCTTCACGTACGGGCTGCCTGATCACAGTTGTCTGCGACATTTGGGCCTGACAAAGCCACGAAAAAAAACACGTCCTCGTGGGGCATGCCGCTGTCAACTCTTCCCAATTTTCTGAGACCCTATATTTTAAGGTCCCGACCCCGAGACCCTGAAATTAGAGGCTTTGGCTGAGACCTTCATATATGAGGTCCTGGGCTCCTAGGGACTCCCCGGAAGACCTTCAATATCATGAACGGTTCATTTAGATTCATTTTACATCCGGGCAAATATTATGAGGATGGGAGTATGTCTCAAAGTGCACAACATCGTTGGCGAATCTTTGTTGTTTGGGCCCCCATTTTCAGACCAACGTCTTATGATGGACCGCTGGTCGATTTTTCGCGCTCAATTCAGTCTGAATGCCCCGGATTGAAAGCCCATGGTTCCCGCCACGGCCTGACACGTATCTCTGCTTGCCACAACTCGGAAAAAAAAAGGAAAAAAAACATCTGAGCATTTTTGGGCAATTCTGAGGTTTGACCATTTCAGGACGACCACGACCACGAGGATGATGATGATGATGATGATGATGATGATGATGATGATGAGAAATGAGAAATGAGAAACCAGAAATAGGAAAAACGGTTCCTATCCGGGATCCGAGAATGATAATGATGATAATGATCCTGGCGAGAACGCGGTGCCACCAGATCTGAGGCGATGCATCAGGGTAAAGTAGAGGAATTTCTGCACCAATCCCACCGTGACGCTGGTGTCCCACACGAAGAAACCACATTCGCTGAAGGACAAAAACAGGGTGAGCTCCATCAAATCGGATTCCTGGCACCATGTCTAGCCCGGTGGTTGACTTGCTAAGTGAAAATCATAGACACTTGAGTCAAAGAGAAGCACTTTTACCAACATAAAATATCATAAAATCAGAATAGGAATGAATAGTACAGCATAACTACAAAACAAGCCCAGATTGTCTTAAATACTTTCAGAACCTGACTGAATGCTACTACTTCCAGCGCCCGTTTTCTGGGCGTGTCTCAGAAACCCCTAGGGCCCTTGTTGAATCAAGATGTTGGAAAATCTCTACCACTGAATCCACTGAAGGTAGAAAGAGTCTTTATGGCTTGGCCATCGTTAAACTGATAGTCAATTTGTTTTCGAATGGAGCAAAAATCAAAAAACAAGTCCACCCATCTAAAAGACAACAACGAAGATACAAGATGGATACAAGTGACAATCAAATTGGCATCCCATATTTTCACCAAACAAATTTAAGCCCCGGCCTGTTGCGCATTTGGCTCTACCAAGGTCACCAAGGAGGGCAGACGACGACCAGTGGTCGAGGCCAGGATCACCAAAACTGGCAACAAGCTGCAACCGTTGTTCTGGTATTATTTTTTGGTGGCGAAAACTCTTCAAGCTTAAGATATATCTATAACCATTGAAAATCAATGTTAAAAGCCGAAGCAGATAGGGAGACACTCAACATGTTTTGTTGTTTTAACACGGAAACATGAAAGTTGGGCGTTGCGGAGGGGAAAAATGTTGAAGAAGCAGGGCAAGGTCAGGGTTTTTGATCCAGCTAAGCCAAGATCACGGAGGGCGCAGCACTCCCATTCCACTCCCAATGTCCAATTTCTGGAGATCCCAGCCCCAAATCCAGCCCCAAATCGGTCCCTTTTCCGATTCCTTTGTCGGTTTGCTATTGACATGGCCATATTTCTGGGCACCAGCTTCAGCAAGATAGCGGACAATGTCAAGATGGCCATTCTGAGCTGCAATGAACATTGGTGTTGAGCCGTTGTTGTTGCCCCGAGCTCTATTTGCACCAGCTTCAGTAAGACAACGCACAATGGCAAAATGGCCATTCTGGGCCGCACCAAACATTGGTGTTGCGCCATCATTCTTCGCTCGATCTTTGTGAGCGCCAATGTCAGCAAGATGACGGACGA